ATTTACCTATCTACCTACCTATTTATCTACTTACCTACCTACCTACCTACCTACCAGTGGTGGGTTGCAGGCAGTACGCCCCAGTACGGGCATACCGGTGCCTGCCGGGAGCACCAGGTCCCATTCCGGTATGGTTCTCCACAGGGCCCACCCACCCGCCTGTCATCCTTACCTGTATTTGAGCTCTGTGATGCTTCCACTCACACGCACAGAGCGTACGGTGCCTGCGCAATGCTCTGCAAAACAGCTGGAGCGTCACAGAGCATCGCAGGAGGTAAGGATGCATGCGCGCGCTGCACATGTGCATACATGCTGCACATATTCATGTGGTGGACGCCGGGCCCCGTTGCCCCGTACCATTTACAGCGGGATCCGGAACCCACCACTGCTACCTACCTACCAATCTACCCATCTGCAGGGGTTACCCCTGGTTTGTGTAGTCCATTGGTAATAAACTTAAAGAATACATTATTATCCTGGCTTGTATGACTTCCACTTTTCGGTACCTACAGTACATGTTTCGTCAGCCTAACAAGCAACAGGAAATCAGTAAACAAAATCTTTATGGCAGACTGAGAAATGCCCCCAAAGGACAAGCTGTGTTAGAAAGAGATTGCTTTCTATTGACATCTGGGGTGCCGTGTTTCTCTCATTAGCCCTCCTAGTCAATTTCATGTTTGCATAATGAAAGTTTTGGACTAACATTATGATTTAATGAGTGGTTCTTACACCTCTTGTCAAATTAGGGCAGTCACAAGGGCTTCTGCAGCATAACAAGCCAGCACTAATATGCCTGGAATTTCTGTGTACCGACTCTTTGGTACATGCACTGAACAAATCTTGTCCCTGCGATACCCAGCTCTGCATATTAACAGACTCACTGAGCTGAATAAATAACTTCCACCTGAAATCTGGGTGGGTAAAGAACCAGGAAGGAATCTGGGAAGCATATCTGGGAAAATCAACCTGATTTTGAGTCGCCTAATATTTGTGAAAATATTTCTCTGAGCTTGGTTGTTTTCTGGTTGAAGACATTTCATTACCAAACTAGAAAACATTATTAATGTTAATAGAATAGAATAGAATAGAATAACAGAGTTGGAAGGGACCTTGGAGGTCTTCTAGTCCAACCCCCTGCTTAGGCAGGAAACCCTAATGATTCATGGAGTTGAAGTTTAAAAGTTGCATTGAAAGTTGCATTTCTTCAAGAAGTTAAGAGAAAGGAGAGACAATAGTATTGTAGTTATCTTGAAAAGGTTGCAAGTCGTGTGTGTGTGTGTGTGTGTGTGTGTGTAAAGGTAAAGATTCCCCTTGCACATATGTCTTAGTGATTCTAGGGGGCGGTGCTCATTTCCGTTTCAAAGCCAGAGAACCAGCACTGCCCGAAGACGTCTCCGTGGTCATGTGGCCGGCATGACTAAACACCGAAGGTGCACTGAGCACTGTTCCCTTCCCACCAAAGGTGGTTCCTATTTTTCTACTTGCATTTTTTATATGCTTTTGAACTGCTAGGTTGGCAGAAGCTGGGACAAGTCACAGGAGCTCACTCCGTTACGTGGGCACTAGGGATTCGAACTGCCAAACTCCCGACCTTTCTGATCGACAAGCACAGCGTCTTAACCACTGAGCCACCATCTATATCTGTATCCATATCCATATCTGTCTATCNGATGCCAGCGTGGGAGAAGAAGATTGGACCATGTGATGGATTTGTGGGTGTGGGGACAAGATCATGAACCTTCAACTGGGTGGAATCCCAGGAAATTCTTCAGAATTGGGATTCCACAGATGATTGCCAACATGTCTGTTTTATTAAATTGGAACTTTAAGGATAGCTCTGCCTTGGACTCTGATTTAATTCTGCATGATATTTGGAATGCTGACATTGAGCTCACTCCGTTACGTGGCACTAGGGATTCGAACCGCCGAACCGCCGACCTTCTGATCGACAAGCTCGGCATCTTAGCCCCTGAGCCACTGTGTCCCATTCTTTCTACAACAGATTCAGCAAAAATGCCCTAGACGTTTTATTGTATTCAAGTTATGCCCTTAAGAGTCAAATTACTGAAGGGGCATAAAAACAGGGCCCCCTACTGAAAAAAATGTGTATAGCTCAGGATTGAATTGTGAGATCTTTGGTGCACCCTGAGCTTGGAAGCTTTCTTGCAAACGTTTCACTACCCAACTAGGCAACATCATCCGAGCTAGAAGGGAGTAGAGTTTTCTCTTGTTTATATATAAGTGCCAATAGAAGAGACTACCATGGAAAAATAAGATCCAACTGGAAAATAAATCTTAGCGTGATTTTTCAGAATGCTCATAATATAAGTCCTACCCCCAAAATAAGCCCCAGTTAAGATTGTCAGCCAGATGGATGCATTTAGTGCCATATTTCTCTGAAAATAAGATAACCAAAAAATAAGCTCTAATGCGTCATTTGGAGCAAAAATTAACATAAGACCCGGTCTTTTTTTCGGGGAAACATGGTATTTGTAGCTCAGGGTTGAAGGGTAGGGTCCTCAGTGCTCCCTGACATTTTCTTGCAGACATTTCATTACCCAACTAGGGAACATTATCAGTACTAGAGGGAAATGGGGTTTGCTCTGTTTATACATAAGTGCCAATAGAAGAGACTATTTGCTGCTTAGGGGTTGAACTGTAGGGGCCCTCGGTGCTGCCTGAGCTTAGTTGTTTTCTTGCAAACATTTGATTACCCAACTAGGTAACATCATCAGTGCTTAGAAGGGCATCAGGAGTACAGAGCGTTATCCTGAGAGGCACTTCATGTTGCATAGATTTTTTTCCATGTGTCTCCCCATTTGATGCATTCATAACATGTATGTAGGAATCTCTTCCAGCTACTACCTATGTCAACAGAGTCACACAGAGAAGCAAGAAGAAGAAAAAAATCCTTTCTGAAGGAATTCTGGAGCGTTGCATGTTCTCATCCACTTTTATGGGAGATCCGTAGCTCCCACCGCCAATAGGCGCCTTTCGTTTCCTTTTCTGGAAATCTCACATGATTTTACAAAGTTTGATTTTTCTCAAACCAGGGCATGTCTATTTTTCTTAGGAAGTGCTCTGACACCGACAAATCTGTCCAATAAAAGCAGCGGTCACCAAATGGTGAGAGAATTTTGGTGGTATGCAGAAAAATCTTTGCATTTCTGCATTTTTAATATTGCACTAAATCAGGGATCCTCAAACTATGGACCCTGGGCCAGATACAACCTGCCAAAACAATTAGTGTCACTCACTGACGGGATGGGGTCCTTCAGGCACTTAGCTTAGCTGCCTGTTTAGTAACTCCAGCCCTTCCCTCCCTCCCTCCCCAGGAGTTCAGGCACTTCAGTGAGCGGTGCACCAAACTTCGGCCGGATCCCTCTGTTAGGAATATAATTCTAATGGTTGGGTTGGCAATATATAAATCATGTAACAATGTTGTACCTGTTTCTTTAAATCATACTGTAAAATGTGATTGGTTGCTGTTTTCCTCAATTGGCCATAAGAGGGAGCCAGAACGACTGTTAGCTCTCTCGGTTCGTTAGATGCTGGGCTGATCTGATCTGAGGGTTTTTTTTGTTTTTTGTTTTGGAAGCTGGCTGTTAGA